TAACTCAGCTTAGAGGGAACATTGGGTACCTATACATTTTCCTTAGTGGGAATAAAAAGCAGTTTGGGGTGTCATTGATAGGTGCTTTCACACTCACTAAATAACACACTATCAGTGCACTTTGCAACTGGATTTTACTGTGTGAAATGGCAAAATCCACTTGCAAACAGTCACTGAAGTGGATTAAAAGTGTATTATTTAGCATGCTGGGAAAGATTGAAGGTCAAAGAAGACGGGGACGGCAAAGGATGAGATGGTTAGATAGTGTCATAGATGCGACGAACATGAAATTGAGCAAACTTCAGAGGACAGCGGGTGACAGGAGGGCCTGGCGGGAGCTGGTCCATGGGGTCGCGAAGAGTCGGACTTGACTGTGCAACTGAACAACAACAACAACGCGCCACAGTTTGGGTTGACACTGAGCCTGCTTCAGTGGGGGGGGCAAGGTGTAAATTGAACAAATAAATAAAATAAATAAATAGAGTTTTGCAGAATTATGCATGGGATAGAGAAGATGGAGAAAGAAGTACTTTTCTACTTTTCTCGTAATACAGGAACTCGTGGGCACTCGATGAAATTAATGAGCAGTATGCTTAGAACAGATAAAAGGAAGTCCTTCATCTAAAGAAGAGGAATTCACTGCTGCGGAAAGTGGTGGTGGCTACAAGCATAGACAGCGTCAAGAGGGGATTGGATAAACGTCTGGAGCAAAGGTCCATTAGTGACTCTTAGCCACAAGGTAAACACTCTGTCTGGGGCAAGTGATGCTCTTTATTCTTGGTGCTTGGGAGGCAACAGTGGGAGGGCTTCTGGAGTTCTGGCTCCACTGGTGGACCTCCTGATGGCACCTGGATTTTGGCCTCTATGTGACACAGAGAGTGCGTTCAGACGGGGCATTTGCAACGGTATAGGTGCCGGTTGGAATCGGTGTACTTACCGGCGTTCACACGGCGAACATCTGCCTTCCGTCCCTAACTGTTGCAAAGAGCTTTAAACCGTTGTATTCTGCCACTAGGTCCCCAAGTGGTGGTATCCTGAGTGCAACGGTTGTAATCGCTTTACCCCCCGTCTGATCGCTCTCCAACGTTGTAGAGCCACTTCCGTTCGGAAGCCTGAGGCATCTGATTTTCGCCCACCATTTTTTTTAGGTCGGCGATATGCGCTTGGGCGAAGCTTCGCCCTGGTATTTGTTTTAAAAAAGAAAGAAAAAGTCCTTAGTTTAACTTTTAGAGGAGTCCGGGACCTCAGGGAGGCCACTTTGCTCTTTAAACTTTAAAGGTAAGTCCTTACCTTTAAACTTTAAATGTAATACAGGGTGTTTTGCGCATGCGTGAAGATCGCCATTCTGTGGATGGCTGCCTATGCGCATGCGCAAACTGTGTTAAAAAACCAACAAACAAATCGCTGATGCCCACTGTGTGTGAACAGGCATACAGCGATGGGCTCCGCAGACAGGAGGTAAGTGTGATCGCGTTTCAGCCGGCATAAACTGCACCGGTTCCAACTGGTACAGTTTATGCTGGCTGAAATGCCTCGTCTGAACGCACCCAGAGTGTTGGACTGGATGGACCATTGGCCTGCTCCAACATGGCTTCTATTATCTTCTTACACTGATTTATACATATAAGTTATTTATAGTCTTCTCACTAAGACTCAAGGCAGATTGCACAGTGGAAGTCAATGGAATCTACAGGGGTGGGGCAAGATGGTGCCAGAACCATGAAGATCACTCACGTCCCTGATCAACAATGGATTTTAGTCCTGCTGGGAAGAATTTATAGGTATTCACTTTTTTTTAGAAGAAATTGACAGGGAAAGTAATTTAGGTGGGTAGCCATGTTGGTCTGAAGCAACAGAACAAAATTTGAGTCCAGTGGCACCTTTAAGACCAACCGAGTTTCATTCAAGGTACAGGCCCCTGCGTGCATGCACACTTCCCCATCAGTCCACACACATAGGCAATGGGTGAGCAGCAACCAGCATACAACACAGTGAAGATGCAAGGACCTAACAGGAGCAACAAGCCCAGCCCACATAATTACCACTTGCCTGGATCCAGCAACAGGGGGGAAACGCATTCGAAGCAAAATATATCAAAACTGGAGACTGAAGTGCAAATGCACCTTCTTGACTGTGGAATGCTGAGAGCGACCAAGTGTGATGCTGCCATCATATTCCACCCGCCTCCTCCCAAGCATGGAGGCAACCAACAGCATCCCCTTCTCTAAGGTGGGGTAATGGCCCTGCAGTGTGCAAGCACATGAAAGCTTATACCCAAATAAAACTTTGTTCGTCTTAAAGGTGCCACTGGATTCAAATTTTGTTCCGTTGCGTCAGACCAACACGGCTACCCACCTGAAAGCTAGAATGTGAGTCCGTCTGTCCTTATATCTTGAAGTGTGGAGTGATTTTAAGATGCTGAATGAGAATAGCAGGTGTGATTGTTTTAGGTGTGATATGCAGAGCAATGGCAGGTGTGGAGAAATCAGCATTGGTAATGAGACAGGAAACCTAGGTCTTGATTCAGTCCAGAAGGATGCATTGTCTTGAGCTTCATTATCACTAGCAATTCAACAGTCTCTCTCTGAAATCCTTTATAAAAGAATGGCTACATTTAGGTCAGCAAGTGAATGTCCTGGAAGGTTAAAATGTTCCCCCACAGGTTTTTAAGCGTTGTGGTTTCTAACAGTAAATCATCCTTGATAGACAATGAGCCTGATGCACTGTAAGGCAGCAGTGAATGTTCCTGTGAATGTTTTGAAGTGAATGTTTGTTTCAATTGTATCCTTACATTCTCATCTGTGTCTGTCAGTGTCTTCTCCAGGAGAAGCCCTTCTTACTGATTCCACCTGTAAAACTGTCTATCGATGGACCCCTGTACTCCTCAATGCCACTGAAAATGTCCCATGGAACTTGTGGGGACCACCTGGCTCTGGATATCTAACCACAGTCCAGATATTCTGAGGCATCTTGAAGTAAACATGGAGATTTTTCAAGTGAGAAGGCCATCCTCAACGTTGAGGTGACCATTAAGCTGAGGTACAAAATGGCGGCCGAGAAGGGGAAAATTCCAAGTGATGCTCTACAGCTCCAGGGGTTACCAGAGGAAGGGATAAAGACCAGGGAGCAGCTGCAGGAACAAAGCCAGGGGCTTGTATGTGGGGTGGTATCCAACAGAGTAGCTACAGCATCTCCTGAATTCAATAGGGGGAATGAACAGGAGTTTGTGAAGAGGAAGGCCCTAGAGCAGGGTACGAGCCAGTCAAGTGAGAGGCGGTCAAAACTTTTAGCGTTGCCCGAGTTTCTCAAGCCAGTTCAGTTCCCTCATCCAAGACTTGGACACCCTCAGCTACCAGAACCTGCACCATTGGATAATGCGAAGGCTTTTCTTTCCTTTGAGGGGATGGCTGATGTTTACGGGAGGTCCCGAGGGCTGGCGGACCTCAATAGAGAAGTCGAAGGGGACCACAGAAAGATGGAAGCCCGAAATACGAAGGATTACTGGAATGTGAGGGAAGACCTCTTACCAGAGGGCTCGCTCACGACAGACGTGCACCGGACGCTTTGAGTTCCGCTACCAGGAGGCCGAGGGGCCCCGCGAGGTCTGCAGCCGTCTCTGGTACCTCTGCCACCGGTGGCTGAAGCCAGAGAGGCACACCAAGGAGCAGATCCTGGAGCTGGTGATCCTGGAGCAGTTCCTGGCCATCTTGCCGCTGGAGATCCAAGGCTGGGTGAAGGGGGGTCATCCTCAGACTTGCGACCAGGCGGTAGCGCTGGCGGAAGATTTCCTGCGGAGACGTCAAGAGGCTGGGCAGCTGGAACAGGAAGTGAGTGGTGTTTCCGTCCGAAGGTCTGTCAATTTAGGGGTAGTCCACAGGACCCTTCAGGACATTGCCAGTGTTGGGGAGCAGTCCCAGGGTGGCATTCTGGATCTCTTAAGATCTGGGTGCATTTACCAGAGGTTGTGTGGTGGAGAACATACTCGGTGTGGGGAAAGTTGTAGATGATGCCCCCTAAATTTACCATGAAAGGGCCCCAGGGAGGTAGCAGTTGGAGATAGGGTTAACGTCCAGCTGGGGGCTGGATATCTTTTGGAATTGGAGGTCTTTCACATCACCTCCTACCTGATCCTTCTAACTGGAGATGCCAGGGATTGAACCTGGGGCCTTCTGCATGCCGAGCAGGTCCTCTGCCAGTGAGCCACAGCTCCTGGGGACAGCAGGGTTTGTGGAGGAGAGAGGGCTCAGCAGGGTATCGTGCCATACAGTCCATCCGCTGCAGGAGCTATATCCTCCGGGGGAACAGGGAGCTGTTCCTGTTGGCAGCAGAGGACAGGACTTGCAATAATGGGTTTAAATTAAGGGCGGGAATGTACCGGCTGGATAAACCTTTTGACAGTCAGAGTTGTGCAACAGTGGAATCAGCTGCCTAGGGAGGTAGTGAGCTCCCCATCACTGGCAGTCTTTAAGCAGCGGCTGGAGTCCTGCACAAACACTTGCCAGGGATGCTCGAGGCTGATCCCTCATTGAGCAGGGGGTTGGACTAGATGGCCTGTATGGCCCCTTCCAACTCTGGGATTCTATCATTCTGTGTATGTCCTGGGGATCAGTTGTGATTCTGGGAGATCTCCAGGCCCCACCTGGAGGCTGGCAACCCTAGAGCTGATGCTAGGATTTGGCCTTTGCAAGCATCAAGATGAGGTGGAAGATTTTCGGGAGGGGCCGTGACTCACTGGCAGAGCCTCTGCTCGGCATGCAGAAGGTCCCGGGCTCAATCCCCGGCATCTCCGGTTAAAAGGACCGGGTAGGAGGTGATAAGAACGTAAGAACATAAGAGAAGCCAATGTTGGATCAGGCCAGTGGCCCATCTGGTCCAACACTCCGTCACACAGTGGCCAAAAAATGGGAAAGGCCTTCGCCTGAGACCCTGGAGAGCTGCTGCCAGTCTGAGCAGACAGTACTGAGTTGGATGGACCAAGGGTCTGATTCAGGAGAAGGCAGCTTCCTATGTTCAAGATGGTAGAGTTATTGAGATATATGTCAGAGTGATAGAGGTAGCAAGCAGTTACTCTAGATAAGTTTGATCTGTTTGTCAGATCTAGCTGTCATGCTAGTAATCATGTAATTACAGCCAGGTGTTTTCTAGCAGGCGTTACTCTTTCTGGGCTTGTTAGAGTTAGTGATTACATCACCCTGTTAGAGATTGGCTGGGGTTTAGCATAATAGCTATCAGTTTAGTAAGCTGGATGGGGACTTATTTCTCATAGATTAAGGCACGACATGCTGTTCAATAGCCTGTAAATATCTCTGTATATATTCACCTGTATAACTATATAAACTCTCTGTGCACCTTCATAACTGGTCAGTCTCCCGCTTCTTATTTACAACACCTGATAAGAGTCGTAGGTGGGGAATCTCCAGGAAGGAAGCTGTCACATTGAGAAGGGTGGTTCTAGCCTAGTCGTCTTTATGTTCAGATTTTCAGTTTATGGAGAATGGGGTTTTCTTTTAAACACAGGGGATTATTAGGGAACAGTGTCCCCCTGATACTGTTCATTCTACCACCTCCCACCTTATTCTGCTGCAGGTGGATTCCAAGCTCTGTATGACTGGACCACAAACACGACTTTCTATTTAAGGTAACATGGGACAGGTGAAGAAACAAAAGTGGGTCCCATTCAGTACTCTCAGGGCTCAGTGTGCTGGCTCCCTGCCTCCCCCTGGTCTTGAATGGGATCCTTGATGCTGTTTCAGGAGCCAAAACCAACCCAGGAGGTGGCTGTGAATATCCCATTCCCTACCAGTGAGAGCCCTTCAAGTACCACTGGAGAGAAGCGGTTTTGCGTCACGGCCAAGAAGGAGGGTGATGGGGAGGCCAGCACTGAAGGTAAGAGATACCCTATGTGCATGCACTTGTCCTCCTCTAGCATCAGTGGCTTTGTGTCGGGCTTCTCTTTCTCTGTGGTCCCTGAGATTCACCAGAAAATTTTCCAAGCTCTGCATGGGGCTGCCCTTGAAGACTATCTGGAAGCTGTTGGTACCGAATGCTGCAGCCGAAGTGTTGACTGGAGTGGATCGTATGGACCATGTCATTCCAACCGTCTTCCATCTACACTGGCTTCCAATTTGCTTTGGGGCTCAATTCGACGCGCTGGTATTGACCTTTCAAGCCCTATATGGCTTCAGGCCAGCGTACCCGAAGGACCGCCTTCTCACGTATTATCGACTAAATATTAGGGAGAACTTCCTGCCAGTTCAAGTGGTTCCTCAGTGGAACAGGCTTCCTTGGGAGGTGGTGAGCTCTCCTTTGCGGGTTTTCAAACAGA